CGTTTAGGGACATAGATCATGCAAGTAAATAGGTGTTAGCCTGGAGCTTCTTGTCTGCTGTTTCAGATTGTGACAACAAATAAAAACCAAAGTCCAACAATTCTCATCAAAGGCTATATATATATATATATGGAGTAAAACGAACCCATCATCCTCAGCTAGAAAGAAGTTCAAGACAACACAATTTTGTTGACAATTTGCTCTCGAGTTTTCTGGCATACTTGCAGTGTTTTGTTACTGGACTTTTTGGGAAAGGTGGAACAATCAATGTTGTGTAATAGTGTCACATACTGACAAGACTGTAGACTGTAATTCACAGGAAGCAGTAAAAATTTTTCCTGTAAAGTGTGCTTCTTCTGGACAACAATGTAAGACTACATATAGTGGTGGTAACAGTTGGAAACCATTTTTGATTATTGTCACCTTCATTTGATACCATATTGCTACCCTTGGCTAAGATTGCCTTATCCATCTGCCCTACAGTTTTAACCTGGCACCAAGTGATTTCCACTTCTTTTTGACATTAGAGATGGCTTTCAGAGAAAGGAATTTTGGCACTAATGCAGAAGTAAAAAAATCACTGAGCAGCAGTTCTTCCGATAGTAAGATACAAGATTTTTCACCTGTGTTATGACAAATCCATTAATGCCCATGGTGATTATGCAGAAAAATAAAGTGAGCTTACTTCTTTACATTCACAGTTTGTTATTTGTCTTGAATAAATATACTGTCCATAATAGCCTACGGAGACTTACTGTTTGAAACTCCTTCATAAATATATATTGTTGTGAAATGTACAGGTGCGGTGAAATAGCTTCCCCGCAAAAGGGTTGCCACATTTGGCGAGAAATCATCCATTTGACGACATACCATGGATAGATATAGAACCTTCTGGAATGAATTCTTACCGGTTTAGCCCAGAATGTTCTCGAACACAAAAACTATATAAACCCTGCTGGTCTACAGTCAGTTAGTGCATGTGCCTCGTCTGGAGTGCGCCTTAGTTAGTATCAAGTGTGTGCTTCATCGAGAGGGCAAGAGAGAGTGCGAGATAGTGTGTCTCTCATCTAGTTAGTCCCTGTGGAGATGATCGAGTTAACAGCTGGCCAGCGAGTGCCGAGTGAATCGACGAGTTCATCGAAGGAGTCTGTTAGTGTATCGTGGTTAGTGCATCATCGAGAGAGCGTGTTGAGCTCCGGGAATGACTGAAACGAAAAGTCAGGAGCTGTGCTCTGAGTGTCATCGAGTGCATCGCGAGTTGTCTCGAGAGTACGTGGAGTTCCGAGAACAATCAAGCAGAGTCGGGAGCTGTACTCTAGTGCTTTGCCGTGAAGCTGTCCCTACTGTGATAGCCTGATAAGAGGCTGACCTGCTAAATTTAAGCATATAAATAAGCGGAGGAAAAGAAACCAACAGGGATTCCCTTAGTAGCGGCGAGAAAACCGGGATGAGCCCAGCCCCGAATTCCGCACCCTTCAGGTGTTGGAAAATGTGGCGTATAGGAGTGAGCGTTCCGGAGGTTGACTCTGCGGCAAGCCCCCCCCTGTCCGGGGCTGTTACCCAGAGCGGGTGCGAGGCTCATAGCTGCTAGGTCTCCTTTGAATGCGATCTCCTGGGAGTCGGGTAGCTTGGGAGTGCCACCCTAATCGGGTGGTAAACTCCACCTAAGGCTAAAATACTGCCGTGAGACCAATAGCAAACAAGTACCGTGAGGGAAAGTTGCAAAGAACTTTGGAAGAGAGAGTTCAAGAGTACGTGAAACTGCTCAGAGGTAAACGGGTGGGCTATATATTCAATTTTCCTTCTCTGTACTAGACTTCTAGTATAGTTTTTCTAGACCTTTCACAGTTTAAATAAACTCATTTTACTTTCAAGAAAAGTTACAATTTTTTTATATATGTTATCAATATATGTATTTGACTAAAAAAACATTATTTTATTATCTCTTAACAGCTACTCAAACATAGAGGATATGTTTTTAATACTTTGCATCTGTTTTAGTATCCATAAGAATTAAGTTATAAGGTATTTCTCCTGCCTTCTTAGCGAGCGAAAACTATAATGAACATGTGATGTGAAACAATAACTGGTTTGATAATAGTCATCTGCTTTTCAATACAGCAGTCAGATTTATGTATTGCTGGAGCAAAGAATTAAATATTTTTTATATTACGCAACAAAGAGTTAGAAGACTCGGGTCTAGACACACTTTGAAACAAGAACCTGGGCTGGAAGCCACATCATGTGTATAACACATAGAGAAATAGCATGACTTTCTTGACATAACGAAAGGAAATGTTGAGAATTAAAAAAAAAAAAAAAAAAAAAAAAATATCTTGAAGGCGCATAATTAAGTCTTCGCATAAACAAACAAGCTACTCCAGATAAGGATGCCAAGGGGCTGACTGCTGTCAGACTGCTGCTGATCTAAAGAAAAAAAGATATAAAGTGAACTGGGCCGAGGCCTGAGCCCACGATCAGAAAGTCCAAAATTTTTGCTGCTATGCTCTATCTGTTTCGCTATTGGTCCGTTATGGATCACATGCTTTACTTCTCATTAGTCCTCTAATTCGGCGAATTGGATGAGTAACATTGCTGCTTGAAAGCCAGTTTGTAATTTTTCAGCTGAATTGTTCGCAGTTTTAATTTTTCCGATGAATGAGATAATAGATGTAAGGAATGCATTAATTTTTTCATCTTTTAGCCGGGCTATTGCAACGTTTAAGTCTTTTGGAGGTGGGGTAATTTTTCCTTTGATAAAGATATTTTTCTGCACTGGATCAGTATTCATTTTAGAACGGGGAAATTTTCTTCTGTTAGTTCTGGGGCTGTGGGCTTTTCTTCTCAAATTTCTTCTTGTATTCACTGCATTCTCTATAACTGCTCACATAGTTTTGTCTGCAAAAAATATATTTGAGATTTTCCTCTGGTTTCATGGTGCACTGGTTGCTATGATGTTGGTTTCCACACTTTACACATCTCACAGGATTATTGTAACAAAATTGAGAGTGTCCAAATTGTTGGCAACGATAACATTGCACTGGTCTCTTTCTTGGATTAAATTTTTCTACTACAACGTTAAAACTAAAAATGTTATTTAGCTGGTGGATCTGGTTTCTTTCTGGGGTTTTCTTGAGCTCGAGTAAGAATATGGGGAGTCTTATTTTTTTCTCTTTTATGGTTCCTGGAAAATCGTTTAACTTTCTCAATTGAATAATTCCCGCATTCTAAGTCTTGCTGTATGGCTTCTTCCTTTACAGATGTGGAGAGGTTCTTCATTATAACTCATATCGGCTTTTCACAGTCGAATTGGTATGAGTGAAATGGGATATTCTTTTCTTGTTGGAGTTGGTTCATTTTACTGTAGTCGTTCAGATTTTTGGTATAGACAAAAATACATTTACTTCTTATCTGGCTTTCACGGGGCTCAGAACAATTTTTCTTAAACAGTTCATCTAGTAGCATCCAATCACTTTCTTAGTGGGAAAATACAATGGGTGGGGGTGGTACTTCTGCATTGGCTCCTCTTTCATAGTTCTCCTCGGAAATTTTTCTAAGTAGCTGGAAATGATTTTCCTGTGGCATTTCCATCGGTTCAATATTTTCCATGATTTTTGCAGTTTTCTTTGGTGTGGTCAATTCTCCTTCCGTACTGGGATTATTGGCAACTTGGTCTATTCGTTGTTTGCTTTTGAGATGTTGCGTATATTCCTTTTGTGAATTCTTTCCCAATTCTATCTTTCTCCTCTGGAGTCTTAGCAGTCTCCACTCTTTTTGTGAAATCCAAGTGTCTCTTCACAAAATCAGCTCCATGCATTTCAATAAGTTTACGTATTTCCGCTTCTCGAGCTTCTTCGGCATCTTTCACCTTCCTGTGGGGAGTCAGTTGACTTTCGTTCTCAGACATTGCTTTAGATGTCTTGGCTTTACCTTTTTTCTGGAGTCGGGGGGTCTTTCAAAAATTCATCTCGTCTTGAGGTGGTCGGTTGAAATTGTTGATTGCTCGGAGTCTGTATAATCGTTGTAGTCATCGTCGATGTTGTGTGTCCCAAAAAAGGACATAATTACCTGTGAAACCAAGGGAATCACACTCACTGTCAACAAAAGTTCTCAGCAAACAAAAAGTAAACTCACTGCCTATGGGACTGGGTTGCGTATATATCGAAATGAAAAATCTGAAGAGTTAGAAATGTCTGACAATGCTGTATTAAACTGAAATAATTAAATAAATCTGCATTCTTAATAATGAGGCTGAAGAACAGAAAATGATTGGCGGAAAAAATCTAATAATTGAAATACATGCAAGCCATTTTAGAAAGAGAAAACACAATGCTGGACATTTATTGTTGCCCCAATGAATTTGGTGAGAAATTTGCTGGGGAAACAAAAGAAATTTTCTTGGTTTCAGTTCCTTATACAAATACAGCAATACTAATACAGAATATAAAAAAAAAAAAACATTAAGCAAGGAAGTATCATCTATTCTGATTGTTGTCTTGTCAAAAAATCTTAACTGAAAGAAGCTGGATCTATGTCCAATACAATTTACACCTTGTCTATCCTGAAACTGAAGTACATATACAAAACACAGAAAGAATGTGGTGATCTGCAAAACAGCATAACAAGAAGCACAGGGAGACAGCCCATCACTACCTTGAATTGCACTTTCATAAAAAATCATCAGACCGCAGCAAAGTGGTTGCACTAATATGCAAGTACGTAAAAGGATTGGCGAGTTTTATTTTTCAATTTTTCTGGGGAAGGGGATACAAGCCCTGGTTTCCTTATCAAAATGTAGCACTAAAATTAACTAACTTGACAATATAAAAATTATTCTTTCAACATATTATTCATATAAAAATTTTATATTGTCATAACCATGCACATTGAACTCAAAATAAACAAAAATATATATATCCAAAATTTTTATAAAATTTACTGGAAAGGCACTGAGGAAATACATGGTCAAAATAGTATAAATGAAAAATAGAACAACTTACAAATTGAAATCATTCTCATCCCAACAAGTCTTCTGTAATTCAAGCTCTTTTGCTAAATCTTCATTCTTTTGCCTCATATCCACAATTATAGAATTCAAAAAGTCAATCTGAAAATATATAATATAATAACAAAAGGATATTATAAGAATGTTTCTGATTGGTTTAGCAAAGAAAGTATTAAAAACCTACATTTTAATAGTTCTATGTTTAAAATAAGAAAATAAACAGTGAAAGGTGTTACATTTAAAAATATATATCACAGATAAAAATTAAAACTTATAGAGTTTAAATATAAAAAGATATGAATTACTTTTAATGATACAAATCAAATATACTTAATCTATAAAAGATATAACAATCTTTTAAAATAAGCTTCTTTTCATAACTTATATAAGCTTGTTAGATTTTATATTAACAATTAATTAACAACAATTTATTATTATACAGACAATACAATGTTAATTACCTGACTATATAAGGATTCTTTTTCTTGATCTTCAGTTATATCTTTTGAATTATCTGTAACTAAAAATGAACATATTATGATTAATTTGTAAAAGCTTTCAAAAACAAACATTCTGAAATTATTACTGTCATTCTGCAAATATCTATTCTAAACTGAAAAATAGTATCTGATTTTTTCAAAACCTCAAAAATGAAGATGCATTTCTATATGTGTGTGAGGAAGTGAAATTTGAAATTGTGCATAAATTTTTATGATTTAAAATATTTAACCAATTATTAAATAACAATATAATTTCAGATATTATGTTTCAAAAGATAAAACTGAATACTAATGAATATTTTAAAATTCATTTGAATAACTCAATAATTAATAAATAAAATTTAAATGTTGGATAATATTTAAGCTATTGCTATACATGATACAGTAGAAAGTCCAACATCCGGACTCGTCAGGACCCGGCAATTCCAAATTTGGGATTTTTCCAGATATTAGATCATCAATTTAAACTTAGTAAGATGGCATGTAGAAATTGTAAAATTAAAAATATGAAATCATGATTTATGTAATAATGAATTAATTATGATCTAAAGGGTATCAAAATTCCCCCCCCCAAAAAAAAGTATTCTCATTTTAAGTAACTTCTCTGTCACTTTCTTCACTATTGGTAGCGGTATTTTTTGGATCTAGAACCATACTACAGATTTCGCCATTCATTAATTGATTAATGATTGAGAAGCATTGTCATCACAATGAAAAACTTCTTTTATATCATCTTCAATTATTACCACTTCTCCACATTTCTTTACAAAATTCATTAATTGGAAAATTTCACCTTTGTTTTGTGATATCCGAAAACCTTTAAAATTAGCGGCCATCATCAACAAATTTAGCTATCCTTCACTATACATATTTGGCTACGCATCATAAGCTTGGCGACTAATGACAAGTTGTTCCCTTAAATTTTATCTTGCTTTTATCGCGCACTGAGACAATTAAGCCTGAATTGTATTAATTTAGTTATTTATTATACTAATGTCTATTTCTTGCACATGCTTAAGGCTTATCTGAGTTCTGAATAAATAAAGTCCCACATATACTTAAGCCTTATCAAGGATTGTCACTAGATAGCTTACTGCCTAGATTCAGTCTCTGTGGGTCCTGAATTTTGCAATTTTGTGCGGCCATCCGAGCCCTGGCGCCGGTTCTGGGTTTATGTGAATAACAAATCAGTTATTCTTAATTCAGATAGTCCTAAATATAATCTTTGGATCTATGAATATCATCAACAAAATCTATTTTTAGCATAGGGAAAGAAATTTTAGGTAAATTTTTCCTCATCAACATTTTTTAGTGCATTTAACTTAAATCTGTAATCATCGCCAAGCATAATGTCAACATAAAAGGTTACCATACTCCTTTATTATTCAATTACGATAAAAAAAAAAAAAAAAAAAAAAAAAAAAAAAAAAAAGTTTAGGTATCGCTACATGAGTCATTTCTCAAGTTGTCATGTTTTGATAAACATGCGGTGATGAAAGAAAAGTACAGTCAAAAGTCGTTAATTCGGACACCCATAATCCGGATCTCAAAGCTACAAACTTTCTGCGCATGCGTCAAAGCGACGCGTATAGGCGAAACGTATAGGCGTTTACGCTTGCGCGTAACACCTTTACGGCTGCGAATATGTGTGCGCGCATGCGCATAATACGTTTACCATGCGTATTTAATGTATAACGGACGGTATAAGCTAAGCTAATATTATCTATCATTTAATGTTGCAGATTGCGTTGTTCCTTAATCTTCGAATTGGATCCGGCTTATTATTTTTTGCAGACTGTTAGAGCAATTTTATAAAAGTAAGCTTGAACTTTCGATTATATCAAATAGAATTTCCGATACATATGTGCTAATATGTAAAGGATCTAAAGCGAAAGTATGTTTCGAAATCCGAAATCTGTTTATCAATTTCACGCTGCTCGGCGGGGGGGGGGGGACATTGCGGCGCGCAATGAATTGAAGTTATCTGTCAGCAGATTTTTTCTATACATATAATAAAAAATAAACAGAAGATAAATATAGTATAAATATACAGAAAGAGAATATAGGTTTTAGAATTATGGCTTACATGCAAAGACTAAATGCCCTTTAATCAAGACTAAATACTACAATATACAGTCAAAAGTCATTAATTTGGACACCCATAATCCGGAATGATCTATATCCAGCCTTCAAAGCTAAAAACTTTCTGTGCATGCGCCGCATTGACACATGCGCATAGGCGTTTACGCGTGCGCGTAAGACCTTTTTGTTGGCTTTAGTTTTCCACATGCAAATTTTGATCGGAGGTAAGCTAATGTGGTTGCTGCTGATTGGCCGAGTATATATATATATGTACGCCGGTATCAGCGAATGCATCTTGTTTCTTGTTCTCTTGTGTGATTATCAGTTAGCATTATGCTAGTTTGCTTTCAATCAAATGATTTTAAAATGTAAAGGCTACAGTGTTTAGCTCTTCTATTTTATATTTACGGAATAAAGCAAGAATTTTATTTAGTTTTAGTCTTAGCTTTATTTAAGGGAAGCAAAACATGCTTTGCCTTTATCACCACTTCCAACAGGGGTTATGGGCCCAGCGCCAACAGCTAATCAGTCATCCAGTTTTCAACTCAGCATTGAAGGAAAGTAGGTGAAGAGGGCCGTTTTTAATCCACGAAAAGAAGCTGACCTGTCTTAGAAGTTTGTTCAAGTCGTTGTGCTCACACTTAATTGAAGATGTCATTACTACCTGAAGGTTTTGAGTTGTTAAACCATGACAACTGGGATCGATGGAAAGTCGACATGAAAAATGCTGTTACTGGATAGAAATTGTTGGAGCTTCATAGAGGACAAGAAGAAGAATTAGATAAAAGTGCAACAAGGTGTGAAAAGCAGGAGTTCACACTGAGGGAGAACAGAGCCTTCCACTACATTATATTACGGAATTAAAGCTGAGTTCAGGCCGCTGATACAAGAATGTTCAAGTGGTAAAGAAGCGTGGGAAGTTCTACAGAAGCAATTCGAACCCAAAACAAGAGCAAGGATAATTCAGTTACTGGATGAATTTTTTTAGTATTAGATATATGCCAAATGAAGAAATAGGATTATTCATCGCAAGAATAAGAATGACTGCAAAGAAGTTGGCTGAAGCTGGTCACAACTTGGCAGATCTTTTTAAAGGATTCCAGGCAATAAGGAGATTACCCCAGGAATACTCCGGCATTGTACAATTGATCTATAGGTGGAAGGACGAAGATTTTACGCTGGAAAGAATTGCTGAAGAGCTGGTAAGGGAAGAAAGCCAACTTCGCCAGGTAATTGCCGATTTAGAAGACAGCAAGGTAAGCGTGTTTAATACTATTAGTTAAACGCAGGGAAAGATAAAGTTGAAAATAAAACTAAATCTAAGAAAAAAATGGGGAATATGAGAATAGGACCTTGTTTCAGATGTCATAAATTTGGGACACTTAATCGCTCAATGTAAAGAAAATGTAAGTAAAAATCAGAAGTTTAAAATAGACGATAAAAATGGACAGTTTAAAGATAAAGAATTAATGTTAGTAGAAAATTATGTAACAACTACAGATAAAGGAGGTAACGCAGGATAAATTTAATTGGGTTGTAGATACTGCAGCTACAACTCATTTCTGTAATAATAGAAATTTAATGACAAATTTTGAAGAAATAAACGATATACGTATGTCTTTAGCTGTAGGAAATTGTGAAAGTAAAGTACTAGGAAAAGGGTACCTGTCAAATTTGCAGTAAAAGTAGGCAATCGAATAAATTGGATTGAGTTAGATAATGTGTTATATAATCCAAATCTAAGAAAGAAATTTACTATCGGGAGCAAGGTTAGAAAAGGCAGGTGCTCATTTTGTGATTTCAAAAGGGAAGATGTGGATATACTTTAATAATTGGGATAGATTATGCTACGCTAAACGATATGACGGACTTTATCACGTAAAACCATTTAGATATGCAACAGGATAAAAAGGGAAGCTGGTTACGGTACAGAAATTGGAAAGTTAAATGAAAAGTAGTTACTGGATGCAATGCTGTGGAGCATTGGAGATTTAGCCACGTAAATTTTGATTATATTAAGAAAACTAGTAAGAATCAAAGCGTGAAAAGGGTTACCAGAAATTGAAAAACCAATAGAGAAGGTGTACTAATTGTGTATTATTGCTAAATCTAGTAGAATAACTTTTAAAACTGTTCCGAAGAGATCGGATAAACCATTGCAGTTGGTTTATTTAGACGTTTGTGGCCCACTACCAGTTCCATCTAAGGGTGGGAGTAAATATTTTTTCCTTGCTATTGTAGATGACTATAGTGATTATTAGTAACAGTGTATTGTATGAAAAATAAAAACGAATCGTTCTACAACTTTAAGAATTATCATAGGCAAATGGAAAGACTGACGAATAGAAATTAATAAGTATACGCACCGATAACGGTGGGGAATTTCTGTAACAAGCAATTCGAAGGGTACTTAGCCGAAAATGGAATTAGTGTTGAACACACACGAACGCGTACACCCCAGAAGAGAACAGTCGTGTGTGTGTGAACATTTTAACCGAACGGCATTAGACGCAGTTAAAAGCTATGCTTAATGATGGTAAAATGGGAAAAGAATGGTGGGCAGAAGAAGCTCTTGGCTGTTTTCGTACATACGTGGAACAGAGTATGTCATAAAAGCAACCGAACCCCTTATGAAATGTTCCTAAATAGAAAACCCAGTGTTGTTTATTTTAAAATATTTGGTTGTAAAGCCTATGTTGGCGTGCCAAAACAGATTAGAAATAAATTACAAAATGAGGTGCAAAGAAAGAATCATGGTAGGATATGCGAAGGAAACTAGGGGTTATAGGATATGGCTATTGCCAGAAGAACGCAGATTAATAGAAACCTGTAATGTGAACTTTCGATGAAAAACTGTATGCAGCAAATGGCATCCTGGATACAGAAATCAAAAACCTAAATTTAAAAGACTAGAGGAATCTAAGCTATTAGCAGAATC